ACCACAAGATCTCATACAGTCCACTCATCATCATCAACAACGTCATCTATACAGCTGAGTTTTATATTATTTTTAATGTTATTTATTGTTTGTTTTAATTGAGATTAACTATATGTTTTATGCTGCTTCGCCGGCCACTAGTATTTTAAGGCCCCCCCGTTACCCCTTAAATTTAAGATACTCTTTGAGGAATTTCTAATATATGTGATTATTTGTTATTTAATTATTGTCTACTCTCGTTTACTTATTGGATTTATAGTTAGCCGTCATCTCCTAGGTGACCCACTCCCGCATCAATATTAACGTTTTATTAAACAGACTTAAGGTAAAACGGCATTCTAGTGCGGTGCACAACTAGCCGTCCTACGGTCTAGCTGCCTCGTACGCAACAAATTGTATGACCAGTATTATTCAAGTTATCCCGTAGGAGGGTTTGTAAGGATCACAGGCTTAACAACCCAACGGACCCTAGTTAACTCAGTGAGTGTAGCTACACTAACCACTACTCTTAGTCGGTCATGACTTTGATTAGTTGGAACCGATAGGCCTGCGCATACCTTTTGCTAACAGTGAATAGGTCCATCTAACCCAGCTATACCAAGTAAAAGGGTTGCTAACTTGTCACAGAGTAGTTAGCTGAAAGGTAAAGTGACAATTGAAATCCTGTATGACACTTGGCACACCATATAGTATAACGCCTATTAATGTATCAAGCTCTGCTGTGATGGACCTTTATTTCTCGACTACTCGTGGGTACTATATGAATAAAAACATAAAAATCCACAAAAAAACGAACTTGGGACAAACAGGGATCCTTTGGACAATCTGTCAGAAAAAGAGCGTGAAATAACGAATCTTTGTAGAAGAATGGTTGAAATTGTCGTGATATGCTTAATACTTTGCATTACGCATCTCACAATTATCAATGAAAAAAGTATAATCTGTATTTTAAATAACTTGTAAACAAACAAATAATTTATCTGTCATAACAAATACAATGTTCAACACAATTTCTTATTATTTACATATATGTCAACTCATCTATTGTTAACTATGCTATCAATATAATTATCATGTAATGTATACTTTAAAAGAATAAAATATAATCATGAATAACACAAACGGCAATATACCTGGATATGGAGTTACCTTTTTTAGTACTGATATCCATTGAAAAACAGAGAGAGCCACGGCTACGGCTAAANCCATTGAAAAGACCGAGCTACTGCCACAGCTCCAGAGCTCCAGCTCAAGTGAATTCGTTCTTACGAACTACTCTTGCTCCTACATTTTGATCACGGCCCCGTGCTGCCGTTTGAGTTATTTTATTTTGTTTACTTTATTTGTGTTTAAAACTTATTTTGGTCTATAAAGACATTATTATCATAAATAAATAATATTGAATAAAAATTGGCATTTCTGGTAAATACTTCATTTATCTTCTTGGACATTACAAAATACGAAGGTAAGTCAATTTATATTATCCCATTTATTTAAAGTTAATAATCTAAGTAAAGAACGGTAAAGCAATAGAGTCCCTTTTAACATCAAGAGTTATTTTGCTAGTTTGTTCACACCTACTACATATACACATTACAGGGCCTCGAGGGTCGGATTACCGCCCCGTTACCTCAGTGTCCTATTAAAGGTGTTTACAAGTTTATTAGCTCATGTTCCTCAATAAAGAGGACATATTTTATTTCTTCATATCTACTTGTCTTTATTGTTCTAAACCCTCGAACCATACGACCCCGATAGAACCATAACATCAGGTTCTCACTAAACCCATCAACCATTCATTCATTTTCATTATTTATATTTTACCAACTTTTTTGCCTCTTTATATTTTTTGAATTATAACAAAATTGAAAATTTCAATGTGACTAACGGGACTTTTTAGTGTACCTTTTACTAACACAGAGATGATGACAGCAGAGGCAAACCAGGTGTCTCTAAACCAACTGAGAGCAGTTGATGTAAGGATCGAAGGACTAATTTAACATTGACAAATTAAATAAAGTAATATTAATTGACTTGAAAATTTCATATTAGCTTCGATGCGAAGCTGAGAAGGTATTATTTACTAAGATGTGTTTTTTTTTTTTTGTGTGTCTGTTACCACTATTTCTCAGCTTTCACCGAACCAATTTCTTTCAATGATACGTCAAAAGATCACAAATAGTATCTAGTCGAAGCCACTACCCTAAAAATTGAAAAAATTTCCTCGTTTCCCGTAAATGGGGAAAAAATTACAAATTTAAAAATTACGGTTTACCCGTCTCACTTGTGTGTTGTAAATTATAATATTATTATAACATTAAACGAAATAAATAGACTCCATCACACAGTGGGACCAAACGCTGATTTAGCCGGCCAAAAGTACCATTTTTAAATCAACTAATAAAAAATTTTTTTTAGCAAATTTTATAACAAATTAAAGTTTTTAATTAAAGCAGGAAAAAATGATTCAAGAAATAGTAAAAATCCTAGAAAAAAAACAAAAAAATACAGTGTTATGATATTTAAATAGCACCCAACCATTACTATAACAATTTTTGGCCTTGAATTTTTGTACATGACCTTATAAGGATATAATAAAAAAATTTGCAAAAAAAAAAATTTTTATTAGTTGATTTAAAAATGGTACTTTTGGTCGGCTAAATCAGCGTTTGGTCCCACTGTGCTGTGGGCAGATAAAGCGTCAGATTAATAACAAAAATATACCAAGTAATAGGTAAAGACATCAAGCATCTATATAAAAAAAATATTACTTATCCATACATTTTCCAAAAAGTTATAGCATTATTAAGTTAAAAATATAAAAAAAAAATTATTTTACAAAAATTGTAATTTTTTATTAACTTTGGTATCTGTTTTCACCACGAAGATATGTCCAGAGGTCAAATTTTTTTTTCCTCCGTAATAAAGTATATTACATTACCTTTAATTTAAGATATATATATAAGTGTCAGATCTTCTGGAACACTATCAAAAGTTTAGTTGGAAAAGTTCTACTTTCTATATGCATTTTTTAGATTTGAAGCCTCCCCGTAAATAGGGAAATGGTCTGATTAAAAAAAAAAAGTATATCATATGAAAGATGTATATAAAAACTACTTTTCATGAAAAAATTGTATTGATCTATACATTTTTTAAAAAGTTATAGCATTTTAAAGTAAAAAAAATAAAATCGAGAAATTTCACACAAAAATAGCATTGGGTATTTTCTCCACGATAACAGGTCCAGATGTCAATTTTTTTTTTTTCATAATAAAGTACATTACATTATCTTTAATTTAAGATATATATAAAAATGTCAGACTTTCCGGAACATTTTTTATAGTTGAGTTGCAAAAGTTAATATTTTGTGAAAAAGTTGTTATTTTAAATCAGTGAGTGAGGGAATTTTTTTCAATTTTTGAGAGTAATATCTTCGACTAGATACAATTTGTGATCTTTAGACGTATTGTTAAAAGAAATCGGTTCGATGAGAGCTGAGAAAAAGTGGTAACAGACACAAAAAAAAAATAAAAAAAACATAACATAGTAAAATTAATACCTACTCAGCTTCCTATCGAAGCTAAAATAATAGATACTGAAAAAGTATTTGAATTATTATGTTNAAAGTGTCAGATCTTCTGAAACACTATCAAAAGTTTAGTTGGAAAAGTTCTACTTTCTATATGCATTTTTTAGATTTGAAGCCTCCCCGTAAATTGGGAAATAGTCTGATTAAAAAAAAAAGTATATTGTATGAAAAATGTATATAAAAAATACTTTTCATGAAAAAATTGTATTGATCTGTACATTTTTTAAAAAGTTATAGCATTTTAAAATAAAAAATATAAAATCGAGAAATTTCAGACAAAAATAGCATTGGGTAGCCATTTTCTCCACGATAACAGGTCCAGATGTCAATTTTTTTTTTTCATAATAAAGTACATTACATTATCTTTAATTTAAGATATATATAAAAGTGTCAGACTTTCCGGAACATTTTCTATAGTTAAGTTGAAAAAGTTAATATTTTGTGAAAAAGTTGTTATTTTAAATCCCCTACTGTGGGCAGTTAAAGGGTCAGATTTATAAAAAAAATTATATATTGATATATTCATTTTTGAAAAAGTTATGGCAGTTTTTATTAAAAAAAATTGAAGAATTTTTAAAAATAAGCGATTTTCAAATTTGTAATATTTTTGGAGGTTTCCCCAATTTACGGGGACCGAGGAAATTTTTTTCAATTTTTGAGCGTAATGTCTTCGACTAGATACGATTTGTGATCTTTTGACATATTGTTTATGAAAATAGGTCCGGCGAGAGCTGAGATTGAGCGTTCACAGACANAAAGATAATAAAAAAAAAAATGTTTAAATTATTATTATTCTGCAAGTAATTGAGTGGGTTATGATAAAAAAATCACCCTGTATTTAAGATACAAAAATGTAATACATAAATTAATATTTTTCACAATATTATATTTTAAACAGCATTGATGGAAGTGTGAAATTAAATTAAAATTAGTAAACTAGTTGAATTCTTATAATTAAAATTTTAAATAAAGTTCTGTTTCTATTTGATGTATGACCTTTAATTTAATAGTTTATTAAATTTCTTTAGGTAAATTCCNTTGGAGGTTTCCCCTATTTACGGGGAGTGAGGGAATTTTTTTCAATTTTTGAGAGTAATATCTTCGACTAGATACAATTTGTGATCTTTAGACGTATCGTTAAAAGAAATCGGTTCGATGAGAGCTGAGAAAAAGTGGTAACAGACAAAAAAAAAAAATAAATAAATAAAAAAAACATAACATAGTAAAATTAATACCTTCTCAGCTTCCTATCGAAGCTAAAATAATAGATACTGAAAAAGTATTTAAATTATTATGTTTATTTAAGATACAAAAATGTAATACATAAATTAATATTTTTCACAATATTATATTTTAAACAGCATTGATTGAAGTGTTAAATTAAATTAAAATTAGTAAACTAGTTGAATTCTTACAATTAAAATTTTAAATAAAGTTCTGTTTCTATTTGATATATGACCTTTAATTTAATAGTTTATTAAATTTCTTTAGGTAAATTCCAAACATATGTATTATGTTCATTTAGTAATAAAATATTATTTTTTTATTTTAAATGAATTCAAAATTTTTCCATCATGTTCATTAGTTACGTAATATTTATGTTCACAACGTTCAAAATATGGTATTTCTTCTAAAGAAGGATTATTTTTAATTGATTGATCATTATTACAAGATATGTCAAGAAAATTGAAATCTTGTGTTTTCATATCATATGGAAGATACTGTAAAAAAAAAAGAAATTTAATATATAAATATCACAATACAACTAGGCCTTAGCATAAATAGAGCAAAACATAGTTGATATTATATTGATTTAAATCTGATGATGATTTAAACAGTATCGTAAATTGTTATAATAGCTAATTGTTAAATTGAATAAATGAATCCATAAAATAATTCTGAACTAAATTAAGGCTGACACATGTTTTTGTGAAAAACCTATAAACATGTTATGAGCATAAACATATTATTAATGTAAAATATAAATGGCCTGAAAAATGATTCCACCTTTAAGTAACATTAAAATGTTTATTTCAAATTTTCCCAGGAATGGATATTCATTGGAAAATTATTTATATAATGAACTTGTATTTTTGATTTTTTAAAAAAGTTACATTTGGATTTTTTTTAAGGTACTTTAGTAATCCTGCAAAACAAATTTTAGATCTATCCACACAATTCTTATCTTCCTTTTGCCATTTACATGCTTTACGTCCAACTGTATTAATGTAATCCTCCATAGTGCTTATATTTTTTTTCAATGATAAAATGTGTTCAAAAATCAATGAAATGACATCCTCATGAACTTCACCTGCAGTAATTAAAATGTTCATTAAACAAATAACAAAAATAAATAATGTTGAAGTCAATTAGTATTCTTTAAAATAATATAACTAATCAATTTTTAATTAATCAAAATCTAGCGTTTATCACAGTACATTATTTATATAAAATTATTTACCATTTCCACTAATAAAATCAAGTCCAACATCTTTAACGTGAAAACAATTATGAAGAAGAATACTTGGCAAATTAAAATTTAATAAATATTCTCCTATATTTGTCCTCCAATTTTGAGCTGAAATAATGCATATCAACCTCTGTAAATAACAATAAAAAAATCAGGTCTTTTTTTATATTATTACTTATTTATACAACAATTATTAATAATCTTAAATTGTTTTTTACTTAAAAATGTTTATAAGTGGTACTAAATTTATAGAAATTTACTCAATAAATGGCCATTATATTTATTAGTTTTGTATTAATATATATTAAGATGGCCCTCAAAAACGAATGTCTTTTTTTTTTACGCTACACCTAAATTTTTTTAATAGTCAAAAAAATGAGCTGTGCAAAATTTGAGTCATATCCTTTAAATGTTAACCCGTGCCCCCGGGCCTATTAAGTTGAGTTGAAGAGGCAAATTAAGTAAAAATAACTGATCTATGTCTAATAACTTTTTTTTTGCTCAACTTAGAATTATAAAAGTAAAATTCAATAAAGAAAATTTTGCAAGAAATTTAAAAATAATAATTCAAATGCTGTTTTCTCTATAAATTGCCCAAAAAACATGTAAAAGTCTTAAAAATACGTCATTAATATTTTCCAATATTTTTTTAAAATTAAAAACAACATATTTGTCAGATATCACTCATACTTAACTATGCCACGTCCACACTGTGCCACGACTCCATTGAGCTATTGTTTTTTAATAATAAAAATAGTAAAACAGTTTTTTAACTTTTTTTAAGTCTTAATTAATCCAAGGTAACCCAATAGGGGTAGTAACAAATACCACTACTGTTTGCCGGTCTTTCTCACTCACTTTAAGAATCCCTTTTTTAATTACTTTTGCTACAAAGTCTTTAAACCTACAAATTAGTGCTTAAAACGAATAGCTTAATCTGTCACTCATATAAGTGATCACCATTCATACAAAAATAGTTAATTAAGATAAATGTGAGATAGTTCTTACCATTATACTTAATAATTGTAATGATATGATCTTCATTTTTTTTTTTTTACTGTAAAAAATCGAATAAAGTACACTTTTAAATCTTTTGTTATAAAAAGAAACAATTTTATTCAAAATATAAAAAAAATTTAATTAATTTTACAAATTTTTTAATTACTATTGAATAAATACTATGAACGATGATATTGTGGCGGTCGAATGTTCTAGAGAGTTCCGCCGCCGCCTCTAGAAGATTCCTCTGACTATTTAAGGGTAAGATCGTCGTTCCAGTCAATCACTTACGCACTTTGTCTTAAACGCGCTTCGTCTCTCGCTGTTATTTGTTAGTTCGTTGTAATATAGTATAGTTGTTATTAAATCGTAAAAGTGTTTATTACTTCTATATATTACACCTCGCTACATTGGTGACCTCGACGATAACAAGTATGAACGCCGAAGAACTACGCAATCAATTGGAGGAGTTACGCCAAGAAAACGCTCGCCTTGCAGCACTACAGGCACAGCAATATCCAACAGCTTCAGTGAATCGCGTTGCCGTCAAGTTGCCACCTTTCTGGTCCGAAAGACCGAGCTTATGGTTCTCACAGGTTGACTCGCAGTTTGCAATCTCGGGAATAACAAGTGAGGAAACAAAATTTAATTATGTTGTGGCTCAGCTTGATACGCGTTACGCCGCCGAAGTAGAGGATATTATTACTAACCCACCGCCTACTGAACGCTACAAACATCTACGCGCAAAACTCGTTGAACGGTTGTCTATCTCAGAAGAACAACGTGTGCGACAACTCATCAATGAAGAAGAACTAGGTGACCGTAAGCCATTACAGTTCTTACGACATCTTCGTTCCCTTGCCGGCACTACTACATTACAAGACAATATTTTACGTCAACTTTGGCTCCGCCGTCTACCATCACATGCACAAGCTATTTTAACCGCACAATCAGAGCTTCCTCTGGATAAGGTAGCCGAGCTGGCTGACAAAATTGTTGAAGTGCAGCCAGCCCCCTCGCAATTCGTCCATGCTGTTGCCACGACGAACAATAAAAAGGAACTCGATGTTTTAGCTGCCATTGAAGCACTCACAAAACAGGTAAGCGAATTATGTGCTAAACGCCCGCAATGTTCCCGCTCTAGGTCACGTAACCGTTCAAACGAGAACTGACTAACGGCAAAGANGTTCCCGCTCTAGGTCACGTAACCGTTCAAACGTGGAACTGACTAACGGCAAAGGATGGTGTTGGTATCATAGCACTTATGGAGAAAAGGCTGCCAAATGTAAGGCTCCCTGCAAGTATCAGGAAAACTCCAACGACAGTCAGTAGCGGCGGCAACAGACTGTCCGAACCCGAGCAGCCGCCTGTTTGTTACAGATCAAATAACAAAACGCCAATTTTTAGTCGACTCCGGTTCCGACTTATCTTGTTACCCTCAACGGCTACTACGGGAACGACGCCATGCCACCGATTACGACCTCAGCGCGGCCAACAACAGTACCATAAAAACTTACGGGACGGTCCATCTCAATTTGAATTTAGGACTTCGACGCAGTTTCCCGTGGAGTTTTATTTTCGCCGACGTGAGTACTCCTATTATTGATTCCGACTTCATGGCATACTACCACTTGCTGCCGGATTGCCGTACCAAACGTCTTATTGATGGTGCCACAGGCTTGGCTGTGAATGGTAAGGTTTCCTCTGTAAATACAGCATAAAATCAGTTGCCAACACTTCCCCTTGGGCTGCACTTCTCGCAGAGTTTTTTTTTATAACAAAGTTATAAGTTTTATACACTGGACTACAAATAACATTCATCAGAAACAAAAATATACTTTTCTAAATCAACTATTCACGCCATTTTCAAATCTGAAATTAGACTTCTTCTATCACTTCTAATTTTAGCTTCGATGCGAAGCTCAGAAGGTATTAGTTTTACTATGATGTGTTTTTTTTTTTTTTGTGTCAATTAACACTTTTTTTCAGCTTTCACCGAACCAATTTCATTCAATGATACATCAAAAGATCACAAATCGTATCTAGTCGAAGACATTACCCTTAAAAATTGAAAAAATTTCCACGTTCCCCGTAAATGGGGGAAACCTCCGAAAAAATTACAAATTTAAAAATGGCTAATTTTCGAAAATTTTTCAATTTTTTTTACTAAAAACTGCCGTAACGTTTTTAAAAATCAACATATCAATATAATTTTTTTTATATAGACGCATGATATCATTACCTTTCATATGGTATATTTTTATTATAAATCTGACCCTAAACCTGCCCACAGGGGGGATTTAAAATGACAACTTTTTTACAAAAAATTAATTTTTTCAACTTAATTTTTCAAAGTGTTCCGGAAAGTCTGACACTTTTATATATATCTTAAATTAAAGCTAATGTAACGTACTTTATTATGCAAAAAAAAAATTTCATACTTTATTTTGTCTTTAGGGTGAAATTGGCTACCGAATGTATAATAAACAAAAAAAAAGGGAAATAAAGAAAGGGGAAGAACGAAAGAATAGAGTCGTGTCTCGGGGTCGAACTTTATTTATTTATCAAAAAAAAAAAATATCCCTACCTCATTTATTCCTATTTTTTTGTTTATTACGTGATTTTTTTTAAAAGTAAGACATGCAAATAAATATTCGCACTTACCTTTATTTCCTTTAGTAATTGATTGAGTTGGTTTTATGGTGATTTCTTCTTTCAGTGTTAACAGTCGTTTATACTCTCTTGCGATTATTTCGATAAATTAGTATCTCTGTGTATATAAAAATTGAAAAAGGGGATTCTCTACAATAGGACCTGCGTCTATTATAATTTTGTCACTTTCTTTTATTTTAAATTCTTTTTATATTATATTATGTTTTTACTAATAATAGTTTCGATGAATTCCCTACTGTTAGATACACATCACAAGAGGGCGTTTTTTATGATGTTGCTGTGACTGATAGCGCTACTCGCGCTGCCACCACCGGTTGTGTGAGCGACTCACTACGTTGGATTCTAGTATACGTGATTGTTGTGTCTCACCGAACTATTATCGGTCCCTTTTGTAAATTTTGCGTTCTCGCCACCATTGCTAGCCCTTGCTACGTGGTTCTATGGTGCATCTAGCTCATAGTCGCTTTAATGGATTAACCACCCTGGTGATTCGTCGTAGGTATAGAACTGCTATACCAACCTATGCCATTGTGCGCCCTTCGTGTACACAACAAGTGTCTCCGTTTGTATCGACTACCCTTGTAATCTTCAACATTTTAATGGAAAGTATTCCAACTGTTCATTTTCACCGTCATCAGTCATCTTTCATCTATTGTACGTTACACAGTTAAGTTTTTATTTGTCTGTAATTATTATATTATATTTTATCTATTTTGTTCAGAGATGCCTTTTTGGCCATTTTAGTATTAAGTGACCCCCCTTCCACAATTCTATGATAGTTTATATACATATTGTTACGTTAATATATAACTCCTTATCTTGTAATTCTTATTATTTTATTTAGTGTAATTCCCATCCTCCTATATACAGTCCACTCCCCATTTCTTTCTCCGGCATAATTAGATAACTCAACTGGACGTTAACTAACCCGCACATTATAACCGGGCGTTTCGTTCAAACACCTACAGTCAATATCGATATTCTTAAAATTTACTCTGAACTAGTCAAAATATAATTATAAAAATATGTCTATCTATATTCAAAATATAATTAACAAGACTGTGGTGGCCCAGCGTTTCTCAGCGTAAAGCCTTGGCTGGTGTGGACACAGTTACCTCGTTAATATATTTAAAATATTATTTCAATACACCTTTTATTATCCTTTACGTCAACTGCCTACACGTTACCGAAAGGTAATTGGCATAGTCCCTTAAGGCTGGCGGGTACACAGGCATAAAGTACTACTACTAAAACTAGTTAATTCTAATCACAAATTATGCTTCTTCATTTAGTTCGGCACATTTAAGGCTGTTCATAAATGTAGGGCACAATAAGCTTTATTATGAATATACGATAATGTATAAGGCTATTACGCCTGTATAAATAAAATTACGCTTCTTCACTGTTTTCGGCACATTTGAGGCTGTCCAAAAATGAAGGGCATAATAATATTTAAAATTCTTATATATTACAAACTATGTCTAAATAAATAAAATTACGCTTCTTCACTCTTTTCGGCACATTTGAGGCTGTCCAGAAATGAAGGGCATAATAATATTTAAAACCTTTATATATAAATAGATATAATGTCTATTTGTCGTGAGAACATTAGGTGATAATAAAATAAATAAAAACTTGTTCCTGTGTAAAATATTAATAAATCATCTAAGACAATGTTCACCACTTAGGATGATACATATAAAAAAAACTAAGTCACAGGGACAAAATATTTACTTATACTGACGCAGATTCCATGTAAGAGAATATTTAGAGGGTAGTCGTTGCAGTCTTTGCCGCAGAAAATCGTCAAAAGAAATCCAGAGAAGTCCAAAAGAAGAGAGAGAGTCGGAGTCCCTTTTTACGAGAAAAAATGGCTTTTTATACACCGGATGAAGTAAGCCAGCGATCTCTATTGAAATTCCTAAGATGTTGGATAATTATTTGTGATTGGTTAATTGTGATAGAAACCCTGCCGTGGGCGTAGTTAATGAATTGTAGGGGACTGGTTTGAAACATGTGTTGATAAATAAATATTTTTATTACCCTAAAAGGGAAACATTCCTTAGATGATTTTTGGCTTTATTCATATATATGTGATATTTAGTACATGTGTTAATAATTATACTACAAATGCTATTTTTGTGTGAAAATTCTCGATTTTAATTTTTAACTTTATAATGCTATAACTTATTGAAAAGTGTATGGATCAACATAATTTTTTTATGTGAAACAATAATTTTTAATAATCCCTTTTTCATTCGATATACTTTATCTGAATCAGGATATTAATAACGAACTAGCATATTATGAAGCTTTTGGAATAATCCACCAATTTTTTAAAATTAAACACTATCTAAAGATTTGCATCGAAGCGTTTTTTTTTTATAGTGATTTTAATCACTGTCAGATATCATTATACTTGATCCAACTATGCCACGTCACCACTGTGCCGCGACCCCCCTGCGCTGTGTTTTTTTTTTTTAACTTGAATGCATATTAAGTAAAATTAAAACTATATTAAAAATATTATTAATTTAAAAAACTAAAAAATATTAAAAATATTAAACTCAAAGCCACAAAAAAATTAATGAAAAGTCGCGGATACGTATTTCGGAAACAATGTTACCATTATCAACGCTAAACACATACTGACACCCATATTGAATGCATAGCTGAAAAGTAATTAGTTTTACTCTGTGGTTTTTTTTGTCCGTATACGTTATTACAACCGCATACTGAAAAGATTTTGCTCAACAATATATCGAAAGATAACAAAACAAGTCCAGTTTTGGACAGATATTTTCGTTCAGAATAAAGAAAAATGTCCCAAAATATTACAGCTGTTAAAAAAAAGGCAGCGGTAATATCTACATTTCCATCTGATTTGACATCGTTTGTTTTACTTTAAAAAAAGTGTGACTAATATTTAAAATGCTCGCATTAATACACTTGAATCTACAAACACAAAATTAAAATAAGTTTTGAGATTTTTATAAATATAATGCTGATGGTTATAGAAAACAATATACTTCAAAATATTGTCAAATTGTAACAAAAGAGCAAGAATTATATCTACGGTAATTATATATTTCATATTTCATATTTAAATATTAGATATTTTGAAAAATAGTTGAATAGTTTACAATTAATAAAAAGTATAGATGATATTTGACAGTGATTAAAATCACTATAATAAAAAACGCTTCGATGCAAATCTGTAGATAGAGTTTCATTTAGAGAAATTGGTGGATTATTCCAAAAGCAATATCAACTCTTATTCTTTGATTATATCCTAATTAGTAGTTCTTTGATTTTAAAATATGACATATGAATAAATACTAATTATAATAATTTAATATTGTAATTTAAACAGGGAAATTATAAAAATAATAAAGAAGTTATATTTTGCCTTATTTTTACGCGTATAAAAGTTTAAAGGGCTTGGTACAGTAAATTTCAATAAAAACTGTTTGTTACTATAAATAAATGCACTGAACTACAAGGAACTTTCATCAGTAACAAAAATATACCATTCTAAATCAACTTTTTGCGATAATTTCAAACCTGCAATTAGACTTTTTCTATCACTTCTAAGTTTTAATATTATTAAAAATTAGTATTTTCATATAAAAAATTCGCATCGAAGCTAATAAANCCGAGAAGCACGATAGGCAGTGACTCAGTCCACGAGTCTTTTGCGTGGGCCATGATGGCTGCCTTTAGTTGTCGGTGCATTCGTTCGACGAATCCGTTTGCAGCAGGATGCCAACTGGTAGTGGGGCGAAGCGTAAAACCAAAACGTTTTGCTAAAGTTTTTAAAGTAGCTGAAACAAACTGAGTACC